AGCAGAAAACTCAGGGATTCATACAACCTTCTCCAACTAATCCCAAACAAAGAGTGAATATCTGTTTGATTTCCTTGCTTTCTGTTGCACCGGCGAGAACCACTTCCTTCAACAAGGGATAAATTGCATCAAACCTCCTTATCGCCTGTGTGCATACTTGTGATCAGACTTGACAAACGCATCATCAAGGTTTTGTTCTATAAATTCCAGTAGTACTATTTACCTTTACTCTTTCGGATGAAGGAGGGAATGAAAGCAGCAGCAAGATCTTAAATCCAAAGAGGAGTATTTACAAGTCTGGTCCGAGCCTCTGGTTCCAACAAAATTCTGACAAGAAAATTGCATGAACAAGATGAGATGACAAGATTTGTAATAATAGCAAAGGAGATGACATTCGACTCACTTGTCAACAAAGTTGAGGATGAGATGCCTTGACTGAGGGTTTCCACCGAGTGGTAACAAGTTCCTCCCCCATGAATACAAGCCTATGCGGAAATCATCAGAAGCAGAGTCACAACAGAACAAGAACGTAAAAACTCTTGGTGGCTCTGAGAAACACAAAGCCAAAACTAGTGAAGTAGAGGTGATTACTTGTCTACTCAATCTCTGTCTTCTGAATTCTGATTTAAAAATCATCATGTCTCAAAGTGGACATTGTTTTTTTGAGTGATTGCAGATTCATAACAATAACATCATGACAAAGAAATCTAACAACAGTGAAGTAGAGGAGATAACAGTGAACTCACCACCTTGGCCACCAGTAGCGACTCCATGTCAAACCTACAGAGACAAAGACCGAAGTTTCGGGTCGAGCGAATTGGTTGATAAGGTAATGGCGAATATCAGACAAAGACGAGATGAATTTATCTGCAATTCTGCATACCATTTTTGTTGATGATGTTAAACATCTTCTCTTGTTTCTCAGAGATATATATACACACACAAAGTGTTTTTTTTTTTATTTGTAGTGTTTTACAATGGAAGAGCAAAGATCTTTCACGGTGGCCTTTGTATGGTTATACAAGGAAGGTCTTATCTACAGGTATGTTTTAAATCTCCAATAAGCTATATGACTCCCTTTTGGCCATTTTGCTAACTTGTTGAAAGGAAAGCACTAACTTGACGCAATATTGTGGAATTGGCAGAGACAAAGGGATTGTTAATTGGGAATGCAGCCTAAGATCAGCAATATCTAAAAATAAGGTAAGTCAAACATCTGGTAGCTCTAATAATTATTGAGCAAGTATTCTGCCTCCAAGTCGTAATGGCTGATTGAGGGTAAAAAATATAGTGAGTCATTGCTTGTGATCGTCTTTTATCCAGTGGCTGCTGTACAAAGGTGCCAAAAAGGAACATAAGAGGCAAAAAGCTTTGAAGAAAGCACAACTTAAGGTAAGGCCCTATACCAGATGTCGCTTCCTGTGCCAGCTTTTGTGTTTACTGATGACTTGGATCAACCCCGCGGAGGCCACCAAGTAAGTTTCTCCTCTTCTTTTTTTGTTTCTAGG